CGGGTAAAATATCTCCCATATACTAATATGTTATCAGTGTATTCAGATGTTTGCCTAAATTCAGTGGTTACAAGAACAATTACTTATTGATTGGTTTAATGGTTGCTAAAAATTATCAGTAACTTAAAGTTTTATTTGTGTATTTATTTTTGTGATTTGCTACGAAAAGAGAATGCAAGCTTTCATGAATGAACGCAGATAAAGATTAGCAGGCTTCCTTGGCTGTTAGCAAAATGTAATCAGGTCATCGAGATGGCATACAATTCGCAGAAAATGTATTGTGTGTGACGTCAGCAGGTGATATGTGCAGACACTTGGAACGTGTGAATGTACCTTATACCCCTCTAGCAATGGATGACCTGCAATGCCTTGTGTCATGTACTGTACTGTACTTTCCACGCTTGGGTCAAGGCAAGATTTACAGCTTACTTTTACTTTTTGGCTGCTCTGAGAAAAGTTTGGATTTTAAAACATTTAAAGAAGAACTCCAGGAATGTAAAAGGTTAAGCCCTGCAGCGGTGTTACCGTCGGACTGCTCGGTTTCTCAAAAATAAATAAATATATAATCACCTGATTCTCGTTCCCGTTTGGCTGCTAGACCAGCCCCTCAGCCTCTGCTCCCCCAGGCTTCGGCAGTCTAAGGACTGCTGATGTCATCATGTCTAATGAAGGTCCATTGACTGCCGAGGGACCTACCACAGCCAGAGCGGGTAGGGAGAGAGGTGAGCACTCCCCACCACAGGACCAAAGATCAGATGAGTATATCTCCAGTTTTCTGGCCCCCTAGAGAAAAACAAGCAGTTAACCCTTGCAGGGCAGGGGTAGCCCCACTGTAGGAGTTACCTTTTCAAAGTTCTTCTTTAAAGAAAGAGTCAGCTATGAATCATTTACAGCTAAAATGGCCATACAATATTGCACAAAAGTACAAGGAGCTATTTGGGTCTGCCGCTTGTTTCCATCCAAAGCTGTCACAAAGGAGCAATTCAGAGGAAAGTGTAGTGTATTTTCAGTGAGCGTATAGTTTGATTTATTATTGTAGCGTGTACCTTAAAGTGTATGAGTTTAGTAAATCTCTGCAATAAATACACATTTCCGCATAATCCATCTATTTAAAACTGCTGCAAGTATAGAAAAAGCCTGTTGCTCCTTCCAGAAATCCTAACAGCATTCTTAAAGGAGAACTATGGGGTCAGTGTTTTTCCCCATAGTTCTCCTTAGGGTAACGGGAGGACACAAACTAGCGTCCTCCCGTTACCCTAAGCTCAGTATACCGCGAGCTACAGCTCGCGGTATACTGAGACGCCGCAGCCGGAGCGGATCCCGACGTAGATGACGGGATCCGCCCAGCTGCGTGAGTGACAGCTGGCTCTGCCTATCTAGAGGCAGAGCTAGCTGTACCCGCCCCCTCCCCCGTCCGTTCCGCCAGTCAGCGCTGGCAGATCGGAGCGGGGAGAGGGGAATCCAGCCCTCCCCTTGTCACGGCAGAGAGCCGTGACAGGATCGAGAGGTGAGCGAACCTGGTATGTGTTCGCTTACCTCCCGATCTACTGAGCCGACCTGTGACAGTCTCATTGTCACAGGTCGGCTAGAACTATGAGGTGAGTGGAAATCACTCATCTCATAGTTCTCCTTTAACCTCCTGTTTGAGATGGCAGCACAGAGGCTTCTCTGCCCTGAAATCCCTAGCAGTGTTGTCACCCCTGCCCAGTTGTCTTCTGCTAGTGCTAGTGTGTGTGTGCCGGCGCTGACTTGATACAACACAAATCACTGTTTACTTTTTATTTATTTATTATTACTGAAGTGAAATGTCAAAGTTATGTTTCAGTCATTCCAATGCATGGCAGTGGGAAACAGGCAGGTAAGCTCCTTTTTCCAGCAGCGCACTGCAATCCATAAGAGTGTTTATAATTCAAATTGATTATAATTAAAATGTTATTCTGCATTTTAACTAAACTCCAACTGTATGACATTTAATTTATAAGAGCACTTTATATCACTCACAATTGTCATGCATGTTCCCCTAAAGTGCAATTGAAGCCAAGACGTATGTGTAGTTTTGGAAGAAGTGAACCCGTCAGGTTTTTATTGCTGTCTGTGTCCCCGTTAGGGAGATTCACCCTCGCTATTTTTCCTTTGTGACTGTTATCACTGAAAGTGAAAGAAAATCCCAAATGTTGGGTTGTCTTCAGAACAGAATTAGATGGGAAATCTTCTAATGGAGACACTAGTTCTGGCCATCAGGGATTGCTCTCACTTTGGAGGGTTTTCCTCTCACTTCCTGTTGCAGCTCTCAGACAGGAATGGAAATCTCCTCAATGGGACACAGATGGCAAATAAAGATGACAAGGGTTATAACCATTTTATCTAAAAGTGAAGAAAAAATTATGACTTCAATTCTACCTTAAAATACCGTTTTCACATTTGTCATTCCTTTCTGCATCCTAGTTCTGCTTATCTACTACAGTCTACATGCACTCATTTCAGCACATCCTAGCTCTGCACAAGGGGCGCATGTGACTGGGTAACAACACATGAGCACAGTTTGGAGACAGTTGTCACCCCATAACAAGAAGTACCTGAAAAAGGACCCTCATGGCAGGATCACCAGGTATCAGGGCTCCTTCACACTTCTCCGTTTTAATGCAGCAACACATTTTACTGTATATAAATGCATTACAAATAGAAATCCCATTCTTTCTTATGCGGCTAGTTCATGACTATGTGGACATTCTGTGGGCCTATTTATATATACACATGTGCATTACCATGCATGCTACATGCATACAGAACAGCGTGAGTCCAGCCTTATTGTAATAAACTGATGATTTAAAAAGATTGAAAACAACTTTTAAAATTATAATATGTTCAAGGTTATATGAGATTGGGTTTAGGTTTGCAGTTTGAGGCCGCTATATGATTTAAAAATACATATTGGTGATATGTAGTCATATGGTTGATGTTTGTTCTTGTAATTTCATCATATTAATATTATCAGTCATGGTAAATCTATCAATAGAAGTATTGCAATGCCACTTGCTTGTTGTCAGTAGAAGGATTAGGATGGTGCTGGCTGGGGATAAAGCGTGTATCCTCCAGGAGTCCTGTGGGGTGCTGGAGTAATCAGGCTGTCTCTATCACAATCCCCCTTCTCCCCTGCCTGCCGTCACTAGATCCGAGAGAGGATGAATATAATTCTGAATCATTAAATGTCAGCAGCTTTATTCACTACGTATGTGTGCGGCAGCCTAGATTCACACACTGCTGGGGGAGACATTCCCATAGAGGTCAGGTCACCCATTCTCAGAGAATTGTAAAGAAGATCCTGAGGCTTATCCACATCTCACCCAAGCTCCTGAGACCCACCCACACTTGCTGTCCCATGCTGATATTCTTTACTGACAGTTGTTGGTTGCATTTTTACTGACGCATGATTATGTTCAGGTATTAAAGAATAAAAGGCAGATGTTCTCTGAGCTTAACCCTTCATCTGGACAAATCTCACTTCATCCAGTAGATATATTATACTAAATTGTTGTCTCCAGCAAGATCAGTAACACAAATTGAGGAAAAGGGAAAGGAAAGAAAAGCGACAGATGGATGTTTTATGTCTGTAATCCAAATATAAAAATAAGATGATTAATATGACAATTTCATGTATGGAGTAGGCAGCTGGTGGATGTCTAATGACTTTATATTTTTACTTTCTTATATAGTTCTATTGTTCTGTAAAAAATAACTACACTTGTAGCACCCATGTTGCACCCATATTTAGAATGTAACATGAAATATAGTCACAGCCCCAAATAACAAGATAAAAACTAATAATACATTAAAAGATAACACGGCGACATTAGCTTTTGCTGCAATTATCAGCTTCAATCCAAAGATTTCCCCCACAGTACCTTTTTCTGCCACTAGATGTCCCCATCAGCATCATTTAACTCGCTTCCTTTGTGGCTAGGTTAGCTTGGACCCTCTCCAGCCTGTGACTGGACAGTGAAAGGAGAAGCAGTACAGGAATAAACTCATCTCTCCATATTTATTATAAATTTAATGATATTTCAAGGGTTATTTCACCTTTATTGTTTGTTTGTTTTTTCTTACAATGCATATTAAAATGCTGCCTTGCGTTTTAAAAACATTAAGCTTACTTTTATTAATGCTGCTCCTGTGGGCTCCCCCTCTCTGTCCCAACTACATGAAAAGACCATTGGATGCACAGCCCCAGCTCCTCGTGAATAAGCACCTTGCTAGAATAATGTGGCCTGCTAACCGCACATGCGCAGTGCACTTTCTCATTCACTGGATGCTGTGCTCAGCCATTGCTGAGAGAGAAAGTAGACTGTGCATGTATGGTTAGCAAGCCACGTTCTTCTAGCAAGATGTTTATTCATGAGGAGCTGGGGCTGTGCATCCAATGGTCGATCTGCCCTGCCATGGAGTCGGGCGGAGAGGGGGAGCCCACAGGAGCAACTCCCCACACTGCAAGGGTAAACTGCTTCTGTTGACTAGGGGACTCCGTAAAGCCATAGTACTCCCATCCTAGGTCACCGCTTACCTCTGTCCCCCTCCTCTTTGGCTATGGAATGTCCCTTGGCATCCTCGCATCCGATGCAATTCAATGGACCTGCACTAGACGTGATCATGTCAGTCGTCCTTAGACCACCGGAGCCTAGGGCACAAGAGGCTGTGGAGACCAGTCTAGCAGTTCAGAAGAATCCAGGGGGACCGCGGATTAGGTAAGTAAATCTGCTTTAATAGTGTCCTCTAGTCTAGACAAAACAAGCACTTAATCCTTGTGTAAGGGTAGCCCCATTGAAAGGGTAGGCGTTTTTCATTTTTCCCAAAGCTCTTCTTTAAGGGACTGTTTCATGGAGAATTTTATATCACAGAAATTACACAACTGTTGTGTTACAAGTGTAATAATACAGCTACTGTCGCCTTGTGCATTATATGGAACCTGATCAAGTCCCTAAAATAGTTTCATGTTCTATCTACAGGTGGCAATAAAGATTATTGACAAGTCTCAGCTCGATGCTGTAAATTTGGAGAAAATCTACCGGGAAGTAGAAATAATGAAGATGCTGGATCATCCTCATATTATCAAGCTTTACCAGGTAAGTCAGTTTACCTGTATTAGATTAGATGATACCAATGTAATAGTTGCTGACCACTGTTTATAGGATGATTCATAAGCTTCTGAACGCTTTTTGTGGCCAGCATTATATTTTCCAAGCAAGGCGCACATTAATCTTCACATTATTCACTGATGATGAAATGTCTATAATCCAGGACACAGAGGTTTTTCAGGGACAAGACCTTTAAGACACGGTGAAAGAATGAAATCAAGTATATAATATGACATGCATTAGTCATGGAGTTTAAGTGACAGTTGCATACATTTATAGCTGAACAGAAAGTAAGTGAGATATGCTATTAAGGTCCATGGTATTTGCTCTATGATTAGGGTATACTAATTGTATTATATTTATACGTTTTCACCTAATAGGTCAATGTAAAAAGTCCTGGAAAGACAGTAAAAAGGGGAAAGGAATAAGAGGTAACAAAGTATAACAAAATGTTTACTTTGTGATTTAGGTAAGGTAAGCGTATTTTAAATATACCTCTGTTCCTTGAGTTATGCCAGGGTATGCTTGGGAACTGTCTTCTTTTTTTTTGCCTCTTTCGGCTTTTAGTGATTACCGGCTTTTTTGAGATTTACAGAAAATCTTGGATGCCCAGATAGGTGACAATGTGTCACGGATACCGGCACAGGTGACCACACACCTGCGCAGGTACCCACACAGGCAGACCAAACACATGTGAAACAATCAGGGTTAAAGGTTCAGGACTGGGATCAGGACTCACAGGAAACAATACTGAGCCATAATCCTGACTGCAGGGAGGGTTTAAATATCCTCCCAGGTACTGGCAGCTGGGAAAGACCCGCAGGTGAGCACTCAAGGAGCGGGCTCTGGACGCTCCACAAAAGTCAATCCGCGCCACCGCGAGGTCCAAGGGCATATCTACAGGCCTGTGGAAGTCCCAACAGGAAGGCCATGGGCACCAGGGTTCCGAGGAGTACACCCCCCAGCACAAAGGAGCCCGGGTATCAGCGGGTACGCCATCCGGTTACCCCCGAAGCAGTGGTCACCCAACCCAGGTCACCACATACTTCAGGGGACGCAGCAAGACCAACCAGAAGCCAGGGGTGCCAAAATGGAACTCCTCTGTTCCCCAGGATCTCACCAACACCAGGCCCTGGCCTGCGCACATGATCACCCCACCTAAGGCGGACGCCACAGGCCCATTGGCTGCAAGGGGCATTACCTCGGCACCAGGACCCAAGCAGGCAGTGGACGACAGTCCCACAAAGTTCGGTTGGACATGCCGCCAGGGCACCGGATCAGCAGAGGCAAGGAGTCGGAAAACAGGCACAGGATCGGAAACTATGAACTGGACAGTAGGCCCCAGGTCAGAGGCGAGGAGCTGGGCCTCAGGCACCGGATCGGCAAAGGCGAAGAGCTGAGCAGCAGACACCGGATCAGCGGAGGTAACGAGCTGGGCAGCAGACACCGGATCAGCGGAGGTAACGAGCTGGGCAGCAGACACCAGATCAGCAGAGGTAACGAGCTGGGCAGCAGACATCGGATCAGCGGAGGTAACGAGCTGGGCAGCAGGCATCGGATCAGCGGAGGTAACGAGCTGGGCAGCAGACATTGGATCAGCGGAGGTAACGAGCTGGGCAGCAGACACCGGATCAGTGGAGGTAACCAGCTGGACAGCAGACACCGGATCAGCGGAGGTAAAGAGCTGGGCAGCAGACACCGGATCAGTGGAGGTAACGAGCTGGGCAGCAGACACCGGATCAGCGGAGGTAACGAGCTGGGCAGCAGGCATCGGATCAGCGGAGGTAACGAGCTGGGCAGCAGGCATCGGATCAGCGGAGGTAACGAGCTGGGCAGCAGGCATCGGATCAGCGGAGGTAACGAGCTGGGCAGCAGGCATCGGATCAGCGGAGGTAACGAGCTGGGCAGCAGGCATCGGATCAGCGGAGGTAACGAGCTGGGCAGCAGGCATCGGATCAGCGGAGGTAACGAGCTGGGCAGCAGGCATCGGATCAGCGGAGGTAACGAGCTGGGCAGCAGGCATCGGATCAGCGGAGGTAACGAGCTGGGCAGCAGGCATCGGATCAGCGGAGGTAACGAGCTGGGCAGCAGACACCGGATCAGCGGAGGTTAGGAGCTGGGCAGCAGACACCGGATCAGCGGATCACCAGATCAGCAACTGGAACAGGAGCTGGATCGTCAGCGACTGGAACAGGAGCTAGATCGTCAGCGACTGGAACAGGAGCTGGATCGGCATCGTCTGGAACAGGAGTTGGATCGGCATCGACTGGAGCTGGATCGGCATCGACTGGAACAGGAGCTGGATCGGCATCGACTAGAACAGGAGCAAGATCGTCTCGAACAGGAACTGGAACAGGAGCGGCTGGAACTGGAGCAGGTGGGGCTGGAAGTGGAGCAGGTGGGCCTGGAACAGGTGGGACTGGAACCAGAACAGGCTGAGCTGGAATGAACCCTGAGTATCCCAGACAGTCATCCCCAGCCTCATCCTCCGAGCAGTCACTCAAATTCTCATTCTCTGAACATTCAGTCCATGCCTCTAGATCCTCCAGGTCTGGCTGAGACGTAGCCAGGAGACATGAAGGTTCTTGCTGGGTGGCCTTGGGAACAGGTGTAGCTGAACGGCAGACAGGTGCTGTTGCTATTGGAAACGGGGAGTGGATTTGTTCATCAGAAATAACAAAAGTCCCTGCGGTTGTCATGGGCAATATGGCTAACCCCGATCGGGATATGGAAAGGGGGCTAGACTGCCAAAACCGTATGTCAGACCACCTCAGGAGCAGGAGTTGGGCAAAGGTTCCCACACAGCACCCCCGGTCAATAAGGGACTGAACCGCCTCACTACAATTTAACAAGGTCTCCTGTGAACATCCAGAGTAATGTTCGAAAAACACAGCTGGATCATCCTCTAAGAACCACACCAGCGACCTGACCTGTGACAAGGTAAATGGAGGGGAGAAGTAATCACCCTTATTACCACTCAAAGCTAGTTCACTACAAATCTGGATTAGGGGTTGAATATCCTGAAAAGAACAACCAGTCATATCCATATAACAATGCGGGTACATTCCAATAGGTCTGCTCTGGGGAAGCCCTGAAACAACTGTAGGCAGTGCTGCCGCACCTCGGATGCTAAAAGGGCATAATAGCTTATCCCCTCGAGATCCATCTTGACAGTAGAAAAAAGGGGGGGGGGGAAACCACTCCAAAGCCAACAGGTCCCCGTGTGGTCGATTTGGTCGTTTGTGGGCTCAGTATTCTGTCACGGATACTGGCACAGGTGACCCCACACCTGTGCAGGTACCCACACAGGCAGACCAAACACATGTGACCACACGGACCAGGCAAGTATGTGATATCTGTATAGGTTATTTAATATACACAGCAGACTAACAGCAACAACCAACAACAGGGCTCACAGGTAACAAGGTTCAAACAGGGTTCAGGAATCACAGGTAACAAGGTTCAAACAGGGTTCAGGAATCACAGGTAACAAGGTTCAAACAGGGTTCAGGAATTACAGGTAACAAGGTTCAAACAGGGTTCAGGACTCTCAGGAAACAATCAGGGTTCAAGGTTCAGGACTGGGATCAGGACAAACAGGAAACAATACTGAGCCATCATCCTGACTGCGGGGAGGGTTTAAATATCCTCCCAGGAAGCACCAGGTGATGGCTAAGTACTGGCAGCTGGGAAACACCCGCAGGTGAGCACTGGAGCTGCAGGTCCCAGCACCACCCAGTGATGTCATGCTACTTTTTGCTACAAGTTTGATGGGAGGAGCCGGCAGGCTCTGTAAAATGCCTTGAATCTTTTTTAACCCCTTCGTGACGGGAGACGTACACTGTACGTCCAGCCACAAAGGGACCAAATGACTTGTCACGTACACTGTACGTGACGAGTTATTTGCTGCTTTAGAGGGCTGTTAATCGCTGAGAATCAGCTTTTAACATTCATTAATGGCTGCCCTTACTACAGAGGCATTCATTAATGAAAGGGTTAACCTTTTTCAGACACCCGATACCTTAATATCGGGTGTCTGAGAGTCAAAGCAAAGCGGACACAGATGCCGGCTTTTGCCGGCATTCTGACAGCTCGTATAGATCGAGAGATATCTCTCTCAAGCTATACTGGCTTTTTTTTTTTTCTTTCATGAATAGATACAAAATGTGTCTATTCCTACAATGTATCTATTCCTGGAAGAAGAATGTTTGTTTGCTGATCGTTGTTGCAACAATCAGAAAACATTTAGTAACAGCTGAATCCTGAACTGCTGCAGGATCAGTGTCACTAACTTATTATCGGCTGTTCTGAAGTTTGAAGCAGCCTGATAATAACCAAAAATTTATTAATTTATCATGCAGTAACAGTGAGATTAATTCACAAAATCTGCTTGATATAATTAAATAAATAAAATAACATTTTTAAGTTAAAAAAAAAAGTGAAAAGTGTAAAAAAAAAAAAAATTTGTGAAAAGTGTAAAAAAAATAAAAAAATGTGTAAAAAATAAAATAAAATAAGGGACAAATAAATGAATGTATTTATTGCATTTTTTTAGCTGTGCTGGTTTTGTAAAAAAAATACTACAAATCAAAACTGGGAAAAAAGTGTTTTTTTTAAACGGTTTTTTCCTCTTTTTTTATATTTTATTTGTCCTAAGTGAGGCGTTAGACGCACATATGTGATATAAATATGTAGCCCTATCTGTCCTCTAAAAAACAATATATAATATGTGTGGGTGCACTTTGTAAGAAAGTATATTACTGACGTGGAAGAATCACACAGCAAAAATGTCAAAAGTGTGTCAGTCATTTACGAACAGAAACTAAAAACAAGCTCAGTCATGAAGGGGTTAAAGGAATGATAGAAAAGATCACATTCCAGGGATCCATTTAGATGTGCTGCTTTTCCCTGCTGGCCACTGGGTGCTGCAGACTTGAGTTGTGCCATCTGCTGATAGTTTGACTGGTTGCAGGCATGTCTAATGGAATACCGGGGGATGTGTTTTTTTCAGGTAAATCTTGGAAACAAAATGATTGATGATAGAGAAAGCTAATAGCTGTGAGATGGTGCTAACAAGAGCACAGATGAGGGGGAGAAGTGATTGATGAATGATAGAGATCGTTCAGACAGAAAATTAATATGGGCTCAGGATAGCTGCTGCAGCTTCAAAGGGTTATTTTGTGGAGATGCAAGTTTGCAGGGAATTGTGAGAAATCAGCTTCAATAGAGGAAAGGATTTGCTACAAGTGTGGGTAATTCCGGAGTTCAGCTTTGACTCCACTAATTTGCTAGTCTAAGATCTGATGCAAACGCTGCCAAGGCTACGTGCTGTTTCCATGTATGTTTAAAATAAAAGGGCAAAGGGAACTGGAGGACAAAGGCACCTAGAAGTGCTTGGCTCAAGACTTGAAACCATTACATTGGCACACCACACCAGGGTTCGGGGATGAGTGATGTCTACACACTCCACCCCTCTATTCTGAATACCATGTAGTGACACATCCTTTATAAATATTACTACTACGTTTATGCAAAATGACTGATTGTCTTGTGAGAAAAGTTATGCCCTCTATTCATAACCATTCTCCCTGCTGTAATGATATTGTAGACCAATATAACCGCCTAGATAGATGAAGGCCAGATACTAGCTTGCTTTCACATGTATGGTGGTCAAACTATCAACTATACTAATCAGCTGTACACCTCGCCACTTAGGTTATGTCGGGTAAACCTGACTTAAAGGGGTTCTAAACCCTCCGTTTTTTTTTTGCTTATATCTACTGCTAGCAAGCAGTAGATATAGGCAAGAAGTGTAAAAAAAAAAAAAAAACGCTTGAAATCATTTTAAACTTACCTCGTTATCGCTGCTCGCTCCCGCGCCGAGAATCAGGAACTGCTCGTACGGCCGCAAAGGATCTTGGGGCGGGAGCATGCGCAGATCCGATTCTCGCAAGGTAAGTCTATGGACGCGTGCACCCGCATGCAGACAGCGCTGGATCGGAGGGACAGAGCAGTCAGCGCTGGACCGGAGTGACGTTGCACCGCTGGAGGGACACATGAAAACATGGGGAAAGAAGAGGAAGACCAGAATAAGAGACATCATTTAAGGTAAGTGCTAACATTTACATGGGGGGGAGGGAAAAAAATGTTGCCTTTAATATCACTTTAAGCCAATCCCTGCTTACATAATATGTCACAGAGGCAATGTTTCACCTTCACCAGTGGCATCAACTGAATTATCTTAATGTATTTTCCTGATTATCACTATTATTTTTAGTAAGGCACAGATGAGAGGGAGGAAAGACCATGCAAAAGTCACTAGTTGTGTAGTAGAGCCTCTCTTTACCCATTTTAGGGCATCCCGGGGTGCTCTGCTAGGCATGTGAACATATGTGCAAGAATTTTAGCATAGCTGCCAACTTTCTGAGAGGAGAAAAAGGGAAACCTTGCAACGTGATGTATTTAGGCAATGGATTCACCCCAGCCACACCCCTAACTTTGTTGACCATTAAGGAGAAGAATTTATATACCAAAATTATTAGTTAAATCAATTTTTTACCATTATTTTTCCTTTATACAGGCTTTTCAAAGTAGCAAACAAGTTCATTTAGAAATAAGATGAAGGTTTTTGTGCAGAATAAAGCTTTTGGTAGTTAAAACATCACACTAGTACATCAGTCCAACAAGAGGGACAACTGAGGAGGAGAGGAGGACAGAGGGATTTGGTTCCAAATGAGGGACAGTTCATAGGTATGACTTTCGGTGCTCCCTCTACAAGTCTACGGCTACATTTAGAAGCTTTAAAGTCAACACAGATTCACTTTAATAAGCTAAGGAACATGAGTTTTCCAGTGACCAAGGCTTAAAAATGAAATTGTTATGTTTTATGCAAAGTTATTTTCTGACTCTTGAAATTACATAATTGTATTTTTTTGACTAAGGTGTTAGACTTTTATAGAAAGTACCTAAAACAATAATTTTGTTTGAATTCATCAGGTTATGGAAACCAAAAACATGCTTTACCTAGTGACAGAATATGCCAAAAACGGGGAGATCTTTGGTAAGTTCCTTGATTATTTATTATCTTTCATAACTGTGTGGCGTCATCTATGTGTATTTGCTGTGCAAACTCCTTCTGAGAAATGCAGTACTTTCCTGGGAGATGAATGCTCTATTTGTTGATGGTTTTATGGTTATGACTCGCAGCTCCAGGTGTTCCTAACCTGACAGCACATAATCAGCAAGAAATTCATTGACATAGTTTTAGAAGGATCAGAAAAACAATCTAGATGCTAACGGCTTGTATATTTTCATAAATGCCTATAAGAAATTTGAAATGGTAAAATAAAATTTTCTATATAAAAAGAATAAAAGCAATAGGCATAGAATTTAGATTATATACTCGTTTAAAGGTGTCATATACATGTGTGTGTTTTAGGTGTGTGAGTTGATTGCTTTCCAATAGATATCAGTTAAAATGTATGTGAATCCTAAGCATGGAAATCTGCTCGGTGCACTCTGGTGTACATTGTGGTAACATCCATGTCAATGTTATAAAATAAGCACTCTATATTTTTTTTAGTGGATTGTATAGTGGAAATATCTACACAATTAGAACCCCTGAAAATACAGGGGGAGCGTGACTATTCAGTCTTGGGTCCGTATGTAGTAAATCTTCAAGGCAGACATATCACACATTCCACAGGTTAAAAGACACTAAAAACACAAGAGAAGAAAGGAGCACCTCTAAGACTATTAGTAAATCAGACTTGCAAAACCTTTTGGATGCATTAAGCTCACCTTCGTGTTTGGCTGAGAGAATACATACAGTATGAGCAATTATGTCAACCAGGTTTATATAGACAAATCTACCTCAGCAGGTTATAGTTGTATCTTGTATCAGTGATAGTGCTATTAAACGAAATACAATACACCTAGGTGTATCTGTTTGAGCATATATTAGTACACTTATAAGGAAAATCTAACCTGGATGAATGGTCTTGTAAATGAGACATCGGCAAAAGCCCTTTTTAAGATGATGCCCACAGGGATATATGAACATACAGATTTAATTCCACTTAGACTATGAAAATGAATATTCCAGTTCAATAAACTTTGTTATAAGAGGACTCGATGCATTCTCTTCAGGAGTAATGCAGTGATCAGTGAATGAGCAATTGAAACATACACATTGCAATAATAAGTAGGGATAGGACAGGGCTTTCGGCGGGTCAGCCTTTGACATCACAGGCTGACTAGGGAACTGCAGGCTTGTTGTGCTATTTCATGGCGCCCTGCTGTTTCCATTGCAAACTGAACTGCACATGTCTGTCACAGGTCTGAATCTGTGGATAGTGTTGACAGAATGCAGTAGGACACTAAAATAAGGAAGGATACTGGCAGGATCATCAGGTGCTTCTTCATCTTTTAAACCTAAAGCAGAAAAAAGGGGTGTTCACATATACTTTAAGAGCTGCTCTAAAAAGTCCTATAAATATCAGAGATAATTTTAGACCCACTACTATCCCATTGACAACAACCAAATAATTTCCAGCATGTCCGAAAATGAATTACCTGTCTGGATGCTGACCCAAGATGATGCCTGTTGTGGTTTAGAAAAAAAAGGTTAGGCCCACTTGGGTTGCTTTCATACCGTACACCTTGATGCACAATAACAAGTTACATGCCTTAAACTAAGCATAGTGTGAATGGGGACTAACGTTTGGGACATATGTATACTCCAGGGCTGGACAATTCCAGGTCACCCAACACAACAGGTTACCAACACAACTGAAAAAAAGACTAAAATAAAGTCTGTTAAAAAGTAACAAAACAATTGTTTGCTTAACTATGTATGTTTAAGCTGCCTATATGGTTATATACAGGTTACGTAGTGCTTGTTCCCTGGTTTTTAAAGCTGGCTCCTAGTTCTGGATGAGATTTGTCAATGTTATTTACTGCATCTATACATATAAATATGTGTATATATATATATATATATATTCCACTTTATTTCACTTTATGTTTGAGTATAAAGCAGAGCCCTTAGCACTAGTGATTTACCTGTTTACAAGACAGTTGAGTCCTCCATGAAATTGTCAATGAATGCTTGTAGGGACGTCAGTGGAAACTTTTTTTAGTGACTTCTGGGTGTTTTCCCAAGAAATCCTCTGTTTAAACCATGCCAAGAAGAAATGATAATTTTTCATGACCTGTAGCCCCCTGAAAAGGTTTCTGTTTGTTCTCTAGCATGATTACACTTCATCTGAGAGATCCAGGAAGTTCTAATGATGTTGCTCCCTACCTGACTAATTCATTCCGGCTTAATTGTTTTACCATTTGCTTCCTGTTCTTCTGAGCTTGGAAAGAGGGATTTTCTGAGCTCGACCTTAAATGATCATCATAACTTTCCTAAGCTAGTGATTTCCTAACATTTCTCAAAGGGGCTCTGCTTATTTAGTGTGGATGCATGGATTCTAAGGAGCTTGTCGGTGACAATAGGAGATTTGTTTTTACCGTGATATGCTCAGTCACTAAATGATTTTATGGGATGGCTCCAGGATGCCACTGTATATAGCTGCCAATATTCCCCGAAACATGTGGAGACACTTTTTATGAACCATACCACCATACCAATGTGTGGGAAAGGCCAAAAGAGGTTTGGTCATAAGGGCCACACCTTTCTACCCATAATTGACCATTTAGAATTTAAGGATGTGCTTGGTATTGCCACTGTTTTAGGTGCTAGTCTTGACTTCTGCTCAACTTTTTTTTTATAGATATTGTATTTATTTATTTTTTAGAATTTTTATTCTGAAAAAAATAGAATACTATACCACAAATCAG